AGGTGAAATGCCAATATACAATGGGTCCAGTCAACCATCGGGTTGGAATACCCCAGGCCCAATCAACCATCAGCTTGGAATGCCAATATACAATGGGTCCAATCATCCTCGGGATGGAATACCCTCGGGCCCAATCAACCATCAGGTTGGAATGCCTAGGGTCTGTTGGCCCACACATATAGCAGTAAAGTCTCAACCACCAACCAAAATATGTGCACATATAACAGATAAACATATAATCAGTCATCAGACAATCAAACATATCTACAGATCACTAAGCATAACATGATCCTATATACCAAGATACATATCTAACAGATCACTACAACACGATAACATATTATCACATAAAAGGATATCTAATCCAATGGGCCGACCTTGGTGCCTTATACCCATAAGTATAGTGAGGAAAACTCACCTCACAATCTGGACAAAAGCTGATGAGGTCTCGACTCTGAATCTCAACACTAACCGTCACTTATCCAACCATAAGACCAATTCTCAACACAATCCAAAATACCCAGAATATCCTTAAGTCAAACTTGTTCAACCTTAGTCAAAGTTAAACTCAAAGTCAATGGTCCTTAAAGACCATATCCAACCTCACGTCGTGGCCAGACATTGGTCACGTCGTGACAGCGTACTCGGTCCGGTTCTTACTCAACTCGATCCAACCTAGTCAACTCAACCAAAGAAACCACCTGAATTGGCTTCACGACATGAGCACCCATTCTCACGTCCTGAGCTCCAAGGATTCTAACAGAAGACGGGGATTCTTCGAATCTCACGTCGTGAAATCTTGCATCTCACGTCGTGAGCTTTGTCTGAGGCTAAGGGTCACCATTTTAAGTCCTTATTCCATTAATTCCTCGAGTCTACTTCATCCAGAAGTTATAGGGGACCCCTAAGGTCCATAAAAATGTTTCTTTATGGCCATGCATGGACCAAGCATGATCCATCCACTTTCTAGATCAAAAGTGAAGAAATGAGCTTCAATCTTTCATGCATGCCTCAAATCCATACCAACTTTCAGATCTGACCAATATTATGATCTAGGGACTCTTAGAATCCATAAAGTTGCCAACTTTATGGATTTACTTCACTTAAGCATACAATAACATAAATAAAATGGACAAAACTCAAGATCTATCCATAATAAGCAATAAATTCGGAGCCTTTGATACTTACAAAGGTCCAAAAGTAGGAAAAGATGATGATGATGATGATACTTTGCCCACTCCACCACTAGAGTACTTCTTTCTTCTTCTTCTCTTCTTCTTCAATCTAGAAATGCATCAAAATAACAAAGGATCTTTAGGAGGAATAAGATTAGGGTTTCTAGAGGCTTAGAGAGTGAGAGAGGTTGACGGTGGGCAACCATAGCCCTCTCATTCCCTTAAAAAACCGAAAACTTAGGGTTTTGGTCTTCAGCCGCTCTCACGTCGTGAGCATTAGACTGCTCACGTTGTGAGCCTTAAAATGATGTGTGGGTCCAAATAACTCCTCACGACGTGTGCAAGCATTCCTCATGTCGTAAGAAGGGCCAATATTGAAACTTTTAACTTCACAATAATAATAATAATAATAATGTGCACATGATCCGAACGTTACATAATGGGGGAAGATCTCGAATTTTATCGAGTAGACTGTGTAGACCATTGGCAAACAATAAAATATGTGCACCCTAGAAGAACTTATATTTTTAGTTCTTAATTAAATCGGCAAAAGCCCACAAACCCGTGGCATTACTCGCGGAGAATGTATACCAATCTCTACTACTAGTAATACAATAATCACGATGGAAAAGATGCATATCAAGAGGTACCTCCAAGGAAGACAACATATGGCTTAAGTTACACATGATAGGTATAGTGCAAGTAATAACATTGACAAAAAAAAATAGTGCAAGTAATAATAGTGCCACAAAATTTAGTACATGACAAACACAAACCTACCTCCAGTGATAATATTGCCAACAAATTTAGTACATGACAAACACAAACCTACCTCTAGTGATATAACATGCAAATGGTATTTCAAAGAATTGGTTGGACAGTAGAAGAATTAGAGTTTGTAGCCTTAGCACCATCACTAGGAACTAGACTAAACTCTTGATCGATCTCTGATTGTTTCATAGGAGTTATCGAATAAACAACTTCACAAAAATGCTTTGAAGCCATAATTTTTACATAAGAAGGGAGTGTTGAAAAACAGAATGAGAACAAGCATAAGAAAACCATAAATCTAGCTAAATAACAAAAACATACACATTAAACTCATGCCAAGTCAAGTAAGAATTCTGCTACAAGACGCACTATTCGTGTCACATCTTATAATTATGTCACAAGCTCTTCACCGTTAAAAACTGTTTAAAATGATACACACCACAACAAAAGCTTCACAGTCTACTAACACACAAATATTTTTGACCACTCAAACACTATTACATCCTTACCAAACTTTCTCTAGTTCTGGCTTTGACTTTAGAGAGTAATTCTATGACCATTTTTGAAGTGCTCTGATCTATTTTGTTTTATCTCAAGGTGATACGGTCAATCCGAATCAGAAGATCACCGATCTTAACCTTGAAGGACTTCGAAGGACGGATGTAGCATCAATAATAAACGAATCATTATTTAATTCTACTAAAAGCGACTCCTTTCAACTTATTACTCGATTCATCCTACTTAAGTACCCGCCAATTTTACCGGATCATCTTTTGGGCCGGAAGGTGGGGCATTAACAGGTTGACGATGTCATTAGACATTTTGTGGGACATGGTTAGAAAATGAAATAATTCAAAAAAAATAAAATATGGGATGGAGTATGCTTTTAGAACTTTATAGAAAGGAAAGGGTATTATTCCTTGTCTTTACAATTGGGCAACTTTTCCTTTTGTTTTTGCTAAAAGTCACAAAACACGTCTTCTTGGAACCTACAATATCTATTTTCATTTGTAATTTTAGTTTAATTACTTATTAACAAATCTATTTTCAACAAGTTGGAATTTGTCCACCTCAATGTTTAACCAACATAAAAAAAGGTTGCATGAATGTTTCGAAGATCCCTTGAATTGTAGCGAGTTAAAATGTACGTAATAGCTGACTCATGCGTTTTCTTTTTAATATTAAATCATGTATAGATAAATTTGTTGAATGTATAATAATATCTGAATAAAACATGTCATATATAAAGACGATTGTTTTGTTTTGAATTTGAATGAACCTCCTAATCGAATAAATCAATGTTGTCAAGATCGAGATCTTATATATGATTGTTTTTTTGGTTTACAAGATTGGAATCGGGATCCTAAGATTACACAAAAAAAAACATAATTTTAACTTATAAGTTCAAAACATGAAAAATGTCTCAAACATTCAGTTTTTCGTTCAAAGCCTGTAAAAACTTCAAAATATTAGTCGCAACAAAAAAGGTAAACGGTAAACCGATAAAGAGTTTATATCTTAAAGTGGTAAATTCATTTTTTTAGTTTTTTTTATTTTATTTTATTTTTTTTGAAAAAAAAATAAAGGGAGGGTGAGATCGGATTAAATCTCGATTTTCCGATCCTATGATCTTACTTGCGAACCTACCCCAGATATGATATGTCTCGTAATTCATAACTAAGATCGTAAGATCCTACGATACTACAATCAAAATCGCGATTTTGACAACCTTGAAACAAATCATCATATAACTCTTCGTATAGAAACGATGATGATAATAGTTGAAGGCTAATTTAAAAAGTTGTTGCAACTCATAGTTTACTTTATATAGATAATAATATAAGATAAATTATATTTTATGACATCAATAATTAATCATTTTAATACTTTTTAATATATCTTTATTTTTTTTATCTCCTATTCTAATAAATGAATAATTTTAATTTTTTTTTTGTCAAGTATCACTCTAATACAACTTTTCATTAATATTATGACATGTGTCATTTAGATATATTAGGCAACTCATTTCAAAATTCAAATTTACATTTTCTAATTATATGTTAAATTTGAAGTTTAATAACTTTAAAATTTTGATATATCTCTTAATTAATAATTTATTTAAAATGATTTATTTAAAATAACTGATTAATAATTATAATTTTTTATTATAAAAATTTAATTAATTTTATAACCGTGGTTTCCACGGGTTATAAACTAGTATGTTATATAAAATCTTCTTATATAATTTGTCATCTTTAAATATACATCATATTTTTTAAAATATAGCTTTCTCTGATGATGTATAATTTAAAAAAGGAAATGATAAAAATACTACACGGCCTTAATGTTTTTTAGTCTTTCACATTTGCCTTTGAAAGTTTTAACAATTATTTTTTAAGATACATATTTGTAAAAAAAAAAATACATTCAATTCTATTTTAGTTATTTAGTTAAATAGGTTAACTAATAAAAGCTAACAAAATTTTAATAATTAAATATAACTAAAATTTATAACAACATATTATTAAATATAAATATCAAAATAGAAAAAAACATATAAAAGTAAATAATTGGAATTACAAAGTGATAACGATAAAAATTACCAAAACAACTTTTCAAATAGTAAAAGGTTTTAAAAAGAAGCTACAATCAAAATAAAGTTACTTGAGAAAATCTTAAACACTGCCTTTTGGGATTTTGGTTGATGGGTTAAATATGGGCCCAGTTGTAATGAAGGGAAAAGTAAAAGAAATATATCAATCACACAAAAATAAAACAAATAAAACACAATTCCATTTTTATACTATCTACTACATACTACTATCTGAATTCTGACCCCTTGTATTATGGTAATTTCTGAGTAACTCATTAACTCATATCTAGATTATATTCTAGCACACGGAGGGCCCAAAAGATAAGTATTACCCAGTCCATTAAATTGAATTTAAAGGCCCATGAAGAGTCAACAACCTGTTATGTGGGTCCCAAAGACCCAAATCCTTAATCAGCTTTCATAAAAAGTCAAAAAGAAGAACCCAGAAGCTTTTCAAGCAGACGTGTATACGCTTTCATGGCTTACGCCCCAAGTCAAAACCAAAGCTATATATACTCCCCCCAAAAATCCCCAATGCACAAACAAAATCACAATTTATCTATTTCACTTTCTTCAACCATTAAATTGTTCTTAAGATCAAGAGAATTACCATAATACCATAATACCATGGCAGGAACAGAAGCTTTTCCCGATTTAGGCAAGCACTGTCAGCTTCCCGATTGCAATCAGCTCGATTTTCTCCCATTCAAATGCGATGGCTGTGAAAAGGTAAGTTCATGAAATCTTCAATGGATTCTCTTCTTTTCGTTCATGGAATCTCGATTGATTTCGTTTTTTGTTGCAGGTTTTTTGCGTTGAACATCGATCGTACAAGTCTCACGAATGTTCAAACTCGGATCACAACAGTAGAAAAGTATTGGTTTGCGAAACATGTTCGATGTCGATGGAGATTCCATTAAACAGAAAAGGAGGAGATTCAGGAGAAGATGAGAACGTTTTGATTTTGGAAAAGCATCGGAAATCTGGAGATTGTGATGCGAAGAAGAAGAAGAAACCCACGTGTGGTGTTAGGCGATGTAAAGAGATTCTTACCTTTTCAAACACGAGTACTTGCAAGTCTTGCGACGTAAAATTCTGTTTGAAGCACCGGTTCCAATCCGATCACGCCTGCAAAAGTCACAACTCGCCGGCGGTGGCTGCTGCCGGCGTTGGTGGTGGTGCTGCACGGCCGTTTTTGGTTGCTTTGGCTTCGAGAATGGGGAAAGATTGTACGAAGAAAACTGGTGGTTCTTCTTCATCGGCTTCTACACCTTCTACATCTGTTAAAGCTTATTGAATTTGTTGATAATAATATTGTATTGTTATAGTTTTTATCTTTAAAACGTTTTCGTTTGTGTTTTTGTTTATTGGTTTCGTGGAAGATAAGCTATAGAAAAGAAATCAAATACACAACTAGATTGAAGATTGATGATATAATATGATATATAATCATTTAACATTTAACATATAAATATACATGAACGACTGCTTGTTTTGTTTGGAAAAAAATTGTGCAACTACATGTTTGCTGTCAATTCTTTGATTTCTTCCAAGGAAATAGCCTGCATCATCCAAATTCCAAAAATCACATGAGATAGGGTTATAATGAAACTTATGATTTTCTTTTTTTACGAAATATGCAACTATTTTTTTTAGGACCAAAGATGCATGTATTACTAGTAACCAATTTATCACATTAAAACTGAAGCAAAAATTGTGCTTTTTTAGGATTAAATGTTCAATTTGTACAAGAAAGTTGTTTTTTATGTGAAATATTTTACTAGTAACTTGTTTGTCATGCTAAAACATGATAACATGGCTCGTATTAATGGTTGGCAAAAAAATGAAACACAGATGTATAAAATATAAATTGGTGAAAAAAAATGAAAATTTGATGCATAAGTTTATTAAAATGAAATTTAAGATTGTAATTTAACCTGCTCATCGCCAGCAAAATCGTTATCAGGCGTGAGAAAAAGCATGCAATGGCACTCCTTCCTGAGAATTTACAAACAAATAATCATGATATTATATCTAGAAATAAATCTATGATCATTATAATTAAGTTTCAAATCATTAAAAGCTTAAATCATGTAATTGATTTCTAGTGCTTGCTTACAAATGAAGGGATTTTTACCTTTCTCTCATGGGTACACAAGGGCAATTCCAAAAGCCTTGACTTGCTTCTGCAGCTTTGTCATCATAGTGCCTGTTGTTTTAAGCAAGTAGCAAATTATATGATTTATAAGACTCCATTTACATTTTACAAAATCAAAAGCAAAATTTCCCTCGAGGAGATTTGAAATACACTTGCCTACAAGGACAAAGTGGTGCACCCAATGTATCTCTATGATCTGCCAACCCCTGTATCCACCAAAGTAATTGCTTTCGTGTTATCATGTCATGTATAACAAACAGGGCCTAAGATAAGGGAGTATACCTTGATAACTACAGAAGTAACACCTTTGTCAACGCAGAAAAATGTGTCAGATTTTCGAGCATACTGCTCTGAGAATTTACGCATAATCTCAACAGACTTATCTGATGGCTCATCAGCTGAAATAAACAAACACACAGCTTAGCAAACAGCAATATAGAAGCATAGATCAAACCACAGAAACAAGAATTCAGAAACTCGTGTCTAGGGTTTTAACTCGTAATTAAGTTCAGTAAATGAGTAAATTGAACACTGAGTGCCTTGCACAAATAACCATATCATCGATCGAACAATTTGAGCTCATGATATTCTAAGCAGCATCAATAAAATAGATCACATAATTTTGCGATTCAAGTACTAACACCAGGATCGATTGAACTACAGGAATAAAAGCTCAACAAGAGCTTCGACATAGAAACCACGGGACTTCGCAAATAAACATAAGTTCAGTGAACATCTGAGAGGGGATTTTGTACTACCTTTCGCGATTACGACACGACGGCGATAGAGGCGCGTTTGAGGAGTAGTGAAATTAGGGGGGAAGCCAAAGCTGACAGAGTAAGAGGACGTCGCCGACAGAGATTGCATCGCGGTCGTCATCTCCAATTTCGATTAATTCAGAGTAGAATTTGCAATGGGTGAAGGAAAGCGGAAAGCCTATATGACATCGTCGAAAACCTATATATATACATCTGTGTGTATGTATGCTTTAGAAGATCTTTTGAGGACTGAAGGAGACGTGAGCAAGCATCACCACTCGTTCCAGATTATCGGAAGAAATTAAGAGAGAGAGAGAGAGAGAGAGCAACTCTTGTTTGATTTTGTAATATGCAAACACATGTCAAAGAGATTACTTATTTCTATGGCTATAGATTTACTATTAGACATGATTAGCTAGCTGTGTTTATTTTGTTATTGTCTAAGGGTGTGTTTGTAACTTTTTTATTCTATTTATTGCATTCCTCTCTGCCTAATTGAGCATCAGAGAGTTCTTTGTGAGTTACGATCATATGGTATCAGAGCACTAACCGTTCCTCTTCTCCTCTTCCGTTCCTTCCTTCTCATCTTCATCTTCTACATGGCTAGTTCATCTACTGATTCCCTCCTCTCCATGAATACAGTTCTTCATCTCATCTCCAATCGTCTCACACCTTCAAACTACCTGCTGTGGAAGAATCAAATTCTTCCCCTTCTCTCTTATCAGAACTTGATGCCCTTCGTTGATGGCACCTCCCCTGCACCGCCGCCTACATTAATCACTGATGGAAAATCAACTCCAAACCCGGAATTTGCTACCTGGCAATCCGCTAATCAAAGGGCTGTTATTCTCCTTCAGGCCTCCCTATCTGAAGAAGCTTTCTCTGAAATTGTTGGTCTGTCCTCTGCACGTGACATCTGGCTGGCCTTAGAAGATGCTTACAGCAACTCCTCCGTCGAGCGCATTCAGAATCTGCGGGATCAACTTCGTCAGATCACCAAGGGTTCTTCCTCTGTTGCAGATTTTGGTCGAAAATTCCGTGCCCTATGTGATCAGTTAGCAGCGATTGGTAAACCTGTGGCCGATTCTGACAAGGTTCATTGGTTTCTATGCGGTCTCGGAGCACCTTTTGAGACCTTTTCCACCGCGATTCGAGCCTCGCGCACTTCTATCACCTTCCGTGACCTTCTTGCTCAAGCCGAAGGGGCATGAGTTGTTCATGCATTCTATTCACGGTTCATCTACACCACCGGTTGCTTTCAATGTGAATTCTCGTGACTCTCCTCCTACTCGGGGTCGCGGTGGTCGTTTTTCTCGTGGCGGTCGAGGGCGGGGGCGTCGTCCTCCCCACTGCCAACTTTGTCGAACTAATGGACACTTCGCAAATACGTGTCCTCAGCTTGCTCGGTTTGCTAGCTCCCATGTTGCCACTTCCGATGCCGATCTTGCAAGAGCCTTTCATGCTCAATGTCATGTGACTTCATCTGGCCCCGATTGGTATGTCGATTCGGGTGCATCTGATCACATGTCATCCTCAGCCGCTTCTGTTAACAATCCGACTCCATTTTCTGGTCCGAACAAGGTTTCCTTTGGTAATGGTACGGCTCTTCCTATATCCCACATTGGGCACACGTTTTTACACAAGAATATCCATCTTCGGGATGTGTTAGTCGTTCCCAATCTCACTAAAAACCTTCTATCTGTTAGCAAATTGACATACGATAATTCTCTGGATGTTTTATTTTCTCATCCTAATTTTTACATTCAGGACCGAAAGACGAAGCAAGTTCTAGCACAGGGTCGGTGTAACGGTGGTCTTTATGTGCTCTCCTCCAATCTGCATGTCTTTTTTGCTTCCACTAGTTCCAAGTTGAAGGCTTCTTTTGAACTTTGGAACGCCCGTTTAGGACATGTGTCCTATGACTCTATTTCTCTGTTAAATAAAAAGGGCCAATTGTCGGTTACCTCTATTTTACCCAAACCGTTTTTATGCTCTTCTTGTCAGATGGCTAAAGCTCATCGGTTACCTTTTGTAAACAATGAAAAACGTGTTATGAAAGTATTAGATCTTATTCACTGTGATTTGTGGGGACCTTCTCCCGTATGTTCGGTTGATTCTTCTCGTTATTATGTTGTGTTTGTAGATGACTACTCTCGATTTACGTGGTTTTATCCACTAAAAACAAAGTCGGGTTTTCATGCTGTATTGGATGTATTTCTTAAATTTGTGCAGACCCAATTTAACACTAAAGTCAAAATCTTTCAAAGCGACGGTGGCACGGAATTTCTCAATCACTTAGTTCGTTCTCTACTTGAGAAAAATGGCACATTTCACCGTATTTCATGCCCGTACACTCCACAACAAAACGGGCGGGTCGAGCGGAAGCATCGCCACATCGTTGAGACAGGTCTTGCTATGCTCTTTAGCGGTCATGTTTCCCCATCTTACTGGGTTCACGCATTCAGCACCGCCGTCTATATTATCAACCGGCTCCCCTCTTCGGTATTAGAGAATCGCTCCCCATTTGAGATGCTTTTTAAGACTCCACCTTCCTATGATCATTTTCGCCCGTTCGGGTGTCGGGTCTATCCTTATTTACGTGACTATGTGGATCACAAACTATCTCCACGAAGCCTTCCATGTATTTTTCTCGGGTATTGCTCTCAATATAAGGGGTTTCAATGTTTGGAGCCCTCCACATCTCGTATCTTTTTCTCTCGTCATGCTCGCTTTGACGAACAATGCTTTCCCTTCCATAATGATGCAACTTAATTACCGGCCCACATGCTTGTTTTATCACAGTTTCGAGATGACGCTTACGATGCTACGACACTGCCACCGTCTCCACCTGCTACTGTTACCGCTCCAACACCAACTCCCATGTTACCCTCGTGGTGTCTATCTGAGGATCACTCTCCACCGGCCGCTTCTCCCATTCCTGCTCCCACTGCTGATAATAATGACCACGGCGCTAATGATCACAACCATGGTGGTGTTGATTCTGACTATGATGTTGTCTCTGAAGATCTTCCAACTGAGCCGACATCTTCGGTCTCCTCATCTCCATCACCATAATGTCCTCCTCCTCCGAGTCACCCGATGATCACCTGGGCTAAAGCTGGCATTTTCAAACCTAAATATCGGGCGGATCTCGCTTCTCATGGGCTTTTGGCAGCTCTTCACGCTTCCACCGATCCCACCAGTTTTAAAACCGCCGCTCGTTACCCGCATTGGGTGGACGCCATGCAACAGGAGTTGGATGCTTTACGTCGCAACAATACCTTCACCTTGGTCCCTCGCCCGCACAACCACAATGTTGTTGGCTGTAAATGGATATTTCAGACAAAATACCTTGCTGATGGTTCCATTGATCGTTACAAGGCCCGTTTAGTTGCCCAAGGATTCAGCCAAGTTCCTGGTTTGGATTACTCTCATACTTTTAGCCCGGTAGTTAAAGTCGCTACAGTCCGCATTGTTTTGTCTCTTGCCGTTACCAACAAGTGGAATCTTCATCAACTTGATGTTAACAATGTTTTTCTCAATGGCCACTTGAGTGAGCGTGTGTACATGGAGCAGCCACCGGGTTTCCAAGACCCCCAATTTCCTAATCATGTGTGTCGTTTAAACAAAGCTCTCTACGGCCTCAAACAAGCGCCACGGGGTTGGTTCCATCGGCTTAGCTCGTTTCTAATCACAAATGGTTTTGTGTGCAGCCGGGCCGACCCTTCTCTCTTTATTTTTAAACGGGGTGTATGTATTATGTATTTGTTGGTTTATGTTGATGACCTGATCCTTACTGGAAATCAGGCCTCGATTATTCAATCCTTTATCCACAAGTTGCATGTTGAATTTGCCATTAAAGACCTTGGTCGTCTTAACTACTTTCTTGGTCTCGAGGTGACATATACTACCGACGGTTTGTTCCTCAGTCAGTCCAAATATGTCCATGACATCCTCAAGCGGGCAAATATGATTGATGCCAAACCTGTCACCACTCCCCTTGCCGCTAATGCTGCTTTTGTCACAAGTGGTGACCCGTTTGATGACCCCACCACTTACCGTTCACTTGTGGGAGCACTCCAATACTTGACGATTACCAGACCTGATATCTCGTATGCGGTAAATCAAGTCAGCCAGTTCCTTCAGGCTCCGACTCTCTCCCATTTTCAGAGTGTCAAATGTATTCTTCGGTATGTCAAGGGCACCATGTCCTTCGGCCTAACTTTCTCTCACCGAAATTCTCCATCACCTCTTCTCGGGTACTCTGATGCTGATTGGGCTCGTTGTCTTGACACCCGACGCTCCACCTATGGCTACTCTATCTTCCTCGGTGGCAACCTTGTTTCCTGGAGTGCCAAGAAGCAACCTACCGTCTCTCGCTCCAGCTGCGAATCCGAATATCGGGCCATGGCAAATACCGCTGCTGAACTCATTTGGATTACCCATCTGCTTCAAGAACTCCATGCTCTCCCATTTGTTCGTCCCACTCTCCTATGCGACAACAAAAGTGCGTTATTTCTTACTCAGAATCCGGTTTCCCACAAGCGTGCGAAGCATATTGAACTCGATTACCATTTCATTCGGGAGCTCGTTTCTTCTGGGAAACTTCATACCAAATTCGTATCCAGCAAGGTCCAGGTGGCTGACATCTTTACCAAAAGTCTTCCCCGCCATCAGTTTGAGTTCTTCCGTGACTTGCTCACCATTGGTCCACCACCGTTCCGCTTGAAGGGGGATATTAGACATGATTAGCTAGCTGTGTTTATTTTGTTATTGTCTAAGGGTGTATTTGTAACTTTTTTATTCTATTTATTGCATTCCTCTCTGCCTAATTGAGCATCAGAGAGTTCTTTGTGAGTTACGATCATAATTACTCTCTTTATTTGTTTTTATTTTGTTTTTGCAAAATTTTGATATATATATATATATATATATTTGCAAACATTAAGAATTAAAGTTTACGTATATATCCATCTTTAACATATTAAACTCTCATATATATATATATATATATATATATATATATATATATATATATATATATATATATATATACTAGGTTATAACCCGTGAACACCACGGGTGAGAAACATAAAATTAATTTTTATTAAATTATAAGTTAATTATTGACCAATGATAATAATAAAAAAAATTATAAATATAGTTGTTTTGTCTGTAATTTGATAATGATATAATGATCGGTTGAAACTATGAAATCATAATGGTTTGAATATCTGATCGAGAATTTGTATTTGTAGATATGTTAGAAAATTATGATTTTGTATAATGCAATAAAATTATGAAGATATAGTTTTAAAAAAAATGTAAATAATCATGCAATG